GCCTTCGGCTCAGGTCATGATCCTGGAGTCCCGGGATCGAGTCCCGCATCGGGCTCCCTGCTCAGCGGGGAGTCTGCTTCTCCCTCTCCCGCTCCTCCCTCTTGTGCTCCCTCTCTCTCTCACTCTCTCTCTCAAATAAATAAATAAAATCTTTAAAAAAAAAAACAAAAACAAAAACTGGTAAGCCAGGAGCACAAGCTGGGATGCGGCAGGTCTTTAGGACACGTATAATTCAGTCACTATGTTTTTTGGTCCATAGGAAGAATTGGGGGTAGGTATACTGTTCCCATGGGACAGGAACAGAAATTGAAGCCCAAAGGAACACTGGGCCTGGATCTAGGTTCTCTGGGGACTCCGCTCTGCTTTCCAAAGAGATAAGATGATGGAGGGAAGGCAGCCAGTCTTCACTGGTACATTCCTGCCCAATTCCCAAACCCATCTCTGGACCTCTGCACTTCCCTGACAACCTGGATCCTATCTCAACTCTTCACAGAGGAGAAACCAATCCCCTTTTATATGTGCACTATTTTAGAGTTGCCGAGCATTTTTGTAGATGTTTGTTTTCCAGCAGTGCTGTGAGGCAAGCAAAATGAGTACTCTGAGTCCAGTTTTATAGATGAGATATCTGAGAAACTGGGGCTCTGGCTGGCGATGGGGTTTGCTCTGAAGGCCACACATTGAAATGGTATGTCTGGGTTTTCTAACTCCTGCTCTTTGTCATCCCAAGCTTTGGGATCGGAGAGGTACTTAGAATGCAGATGATCATGGAGTCTCTTTTGGTTTTTATTGAGGCAAAATTCACAGGACCTGCAATTTGCTATTTTAGAGTGAACAATTTGGTGGTATTTAGTGCATTCACAATGTTGTGCAACTAACACGTCTATTTTTCCTCACTCCTTCCCTGGGATTTTTGTGCGCAATGAGAGAGAATCTGTGTAAGACATCCAGTTCAGGGCCTTGCTCAGGGCCTTGGGCCCTCACAGGGGCTCAATGAATGTAGCCTGTATTACTGGACTCTCTCTAGCAAGCGCTCCAATTCTGGTGGTGTAGAAAGAGGAATTCTTTCTTGAAGTTAGCACTTTGAGAAAATCAGGTTGCAGATAAATGAAGTATTCATGGCCCAATCCCCCCCCCCTTTTTTTTTAAAGACATTTCAAAATTTCTCTCTTCCAGATAACCTTCCTCAAGGAACTCCTCCTAGTCTCGGAGTGATCAGACACCTTTACCTACCGATGCACCAGAACAGAAATGCACCATGTCGTGCAGTTTCTTGTTTCTTTGTAGGAGTTTGTCTTCTCAGCCAGGCTGTGACATGCACAGCCTTGGAGGTACCACGATGTTCCACATTGTCCTGGGTACAAAACAGCTGTGTCAAAGCTAGGTGTTGGATTATATTTGAATGGTGGTCAGCCAGCTCCAATAATCTAGCCACCACCTGGTGGCCAGCATTTCCCCCATCTTTTAATTAGTGGGTTCGGTGACTGAGGATCTGCTCCTTGGGTGCCGGGCTGGAGCCTGACCGAGGCCGGTCTGTGCTCTGGTTGACCATCACTTGGGCAGCTCTGGCTGACACAGGACACAAAGGGCTCCAGCTCCCACACGTGCATCGCACAACAGATGGGAAGCGAGCGCTTCAATAAGGCTGACCCAAGAATAGAATGGCTTTGGCCTTTATTTGAATTTGGCAATTCTAGGAGCGTAGGCCCCAGGCCCCAAGGAGTCGTGACTGTCCCTTTGGCTTCCGATGTCGCCAGGCGTTGAAGCAAATGCTCTCCGCGGTGCCCAAGGTGGCTGAGGTAGAGGGCTGGTGAGGAGTGAGGCTGGGGCATTTAGGATGAGCACCGCACCTGGCGGGAGGCCTAGAAGCTCATAGTGTTCAGGCTCATTGGAAGATTTTCCTGCTGGCGACCTCTTACGACTCTCCAGACCATCATGGTGCCAACCCCAAGGACAAGGCCGCCTCCTGCTGCCACTGGCACGGCCCAGTTCAGCACGTTGGGGCCCGCTTCAGCCTGGTCTTGGAGGAGCTGACTGTTCCTCAGGGTGTGGAGGTAAGGGCTCTCCTGTGGAGGTGGAGGAGAGGGTCAGGGGTTAAGGACCTCAGAAAACCGTCCATCTGCTCACCTTAGGCTTGCATAGGCCCTATCCCAGCGATGGTGCGATAAACTTGCACATCTTCACAGCTCACCCGTTAGTAAGAAAGGGTCAGCTCCCCAGACAAGGCCCACAATTGCCAGGTCTGTGCCTTCTTCATCTACACTGTGCCCAAACCTTCTGAACGAGGATGGGTCTCCAAAGTGGCCAATACCCCACTATAACCTCCTTTTGGCTTCTCACCAGCATCCCCTCTCCTGTCAACCTGATTTTGAAGTAAGATTGGGAATGGATAGGCAACCAAAGGAAGAGAGTCCTGGGGGCTGCAAAGCCCCCACCTCTGTCTTCTCTAGGCCACCACTGGACAGCTGTCCCCATCCTCCGACCTCAGGAGTGCCCGGGAGCAGGATGACAGTCAGTGTGGAAGGACAGCTGGGCCTGTAGTAGGTTAGAAAACCGAGCATGAGGGGGGCCCGGAGAGGAGATGTTCAGGCCTGCCTCCCTGGATTCTCTCCTTCCTCTGTGAACACGAGCGTGGAGCTGGGAGAGTGACGAAGGGTTCAGATGTGGCCACTCTCACTGTCCTGTCAGCCAGTAGGCCATGTTCAGAAACAATCACATCCCAAAGGAGCCTGGGGTGTGTCTTCTGAGGGGTGTAAACAGAAAAGAGACCAACACAGGTGTGTTCGGGGGGCAGCAGTAGGGTGAGGGAAGGGAACAGTAGCCTGGGGAGGGGGGCCGCCCCTGGTCCTTGAAGGATGTGGCAATCTCCCATAGGCAGAGATGGGGATGAGCCTCCAGAAAGCACAGACCTGGCAATTGCGGGCCTTGTCTGGGGAGCTGACCCTTTCTTCAGGGACAGGCATGTCTAAGGTCATAGAGGAAGCTGGGCCTCCCCTCTGGATGCTCCAGTGAGCAGCTAGAACCAGGGCAGGGTTTCCAGCAGCCTCGGTAAGGCTAGAGTGACTGTCCGTGCAGGCCGCATGGTGCCTGGCAGCAGTTACAGGCTGGTCAGGGAAGGGAGGGACGACCGGGGGAGCATGTTGGGAGCATGGTCAGCAGTCTGGGTGAGAGCAGTGAGGGAAGAGAGAATGTGCAGGAAAGGGAGGAAGAAGAGCACAGGTCCCCAGAACAGGCATGGTGTCTTATTTCTCTCTGTACGACCCCCCCCACACACCTAACCACTGCCCATTCATCCGTCTCCCCTGAGCCCCTCTTCCATGGACTGTTGCTTTCTCCCTCCTACACCCTGAGGAGCTGTGAAGTCTCAGGGACCAGGAGGAGTGGTGAGATTTGAGAATGGTGGCAGCGAACAAAGGTGAGTGATGATACAGCTCCCAGGGACCTCCTTGGTGCCTTCTGGTTTGGGGGACCACCCCATTCCCCCAAGCATCTGTTTCACACTAGACAGGACAGGCAGGAGGTTAGGACGTTTACTCACAGGAGAGGGGCACTTGAGTTTGGTTCGGCTGTGGGTGAAGTTGTTGGAGGTTGTCTTCTGGCCCACCGGCTCCAGCTGAAGAGAGAAAGGAAACCGGGATTTCCTCCACAGTGGCCGAGACCTCCCTGTCGGAGGAGGATCTCCACCTGACCCCCTCTCTCTACCAGCGTGGGTTATAACGCAATAAATGCAAGATCCACGGCAGATGCCTCGCTGCCGGACCTGACTTCTGACTCAGAAGGGGCAGGTCAGAGTCCATCAGGCAGGGCGGGACCCTGAGTCTGCCCTGGCTTGACCAAGGAGGACACAGGCCCAGCACAGTGACTCCGTGCAAGGGCCTGGCCCAGAACCTCCGTTTCCTGCTTCCCTTCGGCGTGACTGTGATCACACACACCCTGCGTTTGCAATTTTATAAAATGGTGATAATCCTATTTACCAACTTCAAGTGTACGGGGCTAGTTGGTTTCAGAAAAACTTTAATAACTTACTGGTTACTCTACCTGGCTTGTCAACCTCAAGAAATTTTTCTCACTTGAGCTACTTTGTATGTTTTTCACACAGATGTAGAGGTGTACTCAGAACATCCCTGGAGCAATTGTTGTTCAGAGAGGTTCTGCTTAATACTTTTAGTCCTGAGACCCTCTGAGAATGAGCTAGAAGCTGCTACCCCTTCCCAGCATCTTTAGCCAACAGCCTGCCCCCTGACATGCGGCCAGCCCAGAGAAGGGTAGGCCCCTGGCACTGACTGTGTAGGTTCTGCCCTTAGAATCTGCTTCCTTGCCCAGTCCTGAGCCCCTCTGCTCCTGACCCCCAGGTACTGCCTACGAGGGAGGTAAAAGGATGCTCTGCCAGCTACCGACCACACCTTGCCTGTGATCTCGCTTTCCGTTGTCCTACGGCTGCTCTGGCCCTGAGAGAGACTCCATGGTGACTGGTAGAGCACAGTGGACACATCCCCTGGGGTCCAGACTCTGCTGCTGAGAGCTGTTCGTGCTAGGCGGGTTCCCGAGCTGCCCCAACCACCCATATTTGGCTGTTGCGAGCATCAGATGAGAAATGACGCCGAGCAGGAGGTGGGTTACTTATGTGTCGTTTCTACTTGCTTAGAGCTGAGGAAGCACAAGCTTCTTGTAATGGAACGACCACCGAGTGACCATATAGATGCTCAAGGTCAGGTTGGCTGATTCCCTGACATTCCAGGAACCCGGGAACTAAGTGGTACAGAAGAAGGTAAGGATCACGTCGTGGGTGTGAGGACTGCGTCGGGTTCTCCCTTTCTCCTGGCTCCTTGTCATCCGTGCACAGTCTCCCAGCGTCCTCCCTGAGCCCGCGTCCCCTCCAGCTACCTTCACAACCCCTCCCTGTGCCTCTAGGAAGACTCATTTGTCTGGCTGCACTTCCTGACCTCCCGTTCCAATGCCCACTCCAGTCAGACTTCAGTCTCCATCACTTGACTGAAGTTCTGGTCAAGGTCACTATGACCTCCATCTCACCAGACTCAATGTTCACTTTGTGGTCTTCATCTTGCTTGACTTTTCAGCAACATTTGTCAAAGTTGATGCATCCCTCTTGAAACGCTCACCCATCTGGGCTCCCGGAACAGGGCACTCTTCTCTCCTGCCCACCTCCCCACTCCCCCTCCCCTTCTCATCCATCACTGAGGTCAGAGGTTGGAATGAAGGCCCTAGGGCTTGGTGGTAGGTCCCAGCTTTTTCCCACCTACTCTCCTCTAGGAGCTCCTCGTGGATCCCATGGCCTCGAATACCCCCTCCCATGAATGAGGCTCACATTTTTTTTTCTTAAATCTCCATTCCTGACTCTGTCTCTGAGCTTCAGCTCATAGATTCAACAGCTTACTTGATGCCTCGAGGTAGAGTTCCAGAAAGTGGTTCACACTTACCGTGGCCAAAAGAGAACTTTTTTTTTTCCCCTCAAGCTTATTTCTCTCCAGCACCTCAACCATCCACCCAATTTTCTTGACCCCAAATGGAGGAGTCATCTCTTGTTCCTTTTCTTTTAATTTAAATTCTAGTTAATATACAGTGGAATATTAGTTTCAGGTGTACAATATAGTGATTCAACACTTACATACAATATCAGGTGCTCATTACAAGTACACTCCTTAATCCCCATCACCTAGTTAACCCATCCCCCCACCCACCTCCTTCTCGTCTTTGTTCCTCTTCTAACCTCCTCCATCAGCCAGTCCAAAAACAGATCTCAACTCTGACCCTTTCTCTCCTTCTCCACTGTCATCACCCTGGGCCCATCCACCTTCATCTCTCACCTGGGCTCCTGGTCTAATTTCACGCTTCCTTCTAGTCCAGGGCTACACGGCAGCCAGTGGGCAAACCAGATCCTCTGGCTTCCCTGTTGGAAGCCATCCAAGGACCTGGCCCTGCTCTCGCTCACCTCTCTGACCTTGCTCACCTCCCTCCAGTTACACTGGCCCTTCTGTTGCTCAGACACTTCAAACTCATTCCTGACTCCAGGCCCGCACAGGTCCTATTTCTTCTGCCTGGAACACTCTGGCCCTAGACCTCTGCATGCCTGGCAGGCTCCTGACATTCAGTTCTCAGCTCACAGGTCACTCGTCAGAGACGCCTCCCTCTCCCCCACCATTACTCTGGCGCATTCCCTCCCTCCCTCCCTCCTTCCCTCCCTCTCTTTCTCTTTCTTTTCTCTTTCTTTCCCCTGAATGTGGTCAGAAAGTCTTAGTGACTTGTTGAGTTTTCTCTGTCCTTTCCCCGTGAGTGCAAGGATGTTCTTTTCCCCAGCACCTGGGGTAGTCCCCTCTGCATAGTGATGCTCAATAAATAGTTGTTGAGGGAGCGCGTGGATGGACTAGAGTCAGAGTCCTGAGTGGAGCAGCTCAGGCAAGAAGGCCTGGGGCTGGCCCCAGGAAATGAAGTTGTTTTACTGAGAACCCACCTTTCCTAAGGCTGATACTGCAGATACCAACGATGTGGCCAATAACAGGGCTGGGGCAGGGAGCAGGGGCGGGCCTCTAGTCTGTTCTGGGGATTCAGGGAAGGCTTCCTGTAGGAGCTAGCACCTGAGTTGAGTGGTGAGGTGGCTATGAGATAGGAGAAGAAGATTGGAAGGACAGTCCACGATAAGGGGATGAGCAAGAGCCAACACACAGATGCATGAGATACCATGGGTGGTGTGGGAAACTGCACTCCTTACCAGACTGCCCCACTGCCAATCAGAGGGGGGTGGGAGTGACTGCTGGAGAGGTTAACTGGGGCCAAGTCTCCGAAGGCCTGGTGTGCTGTGCTAAGGGACCTGGCCTTTCCCCTTCGGGGAGGGGCAGGCCTTGGAAGTTTGGTCGGATTTTCATTTACACAGATTCCTGGGGCTGCCCTGTGGCAAAGAGATCTAAGGCAGTGGTTTGCAAATCCTGTATAATATCATTGGGGAGCTTCTGAAACCTGCTGAACCCAGGTGCTACCCCAGACTAATCCAGAATTTTGGGGGATGAGGTCCAGGCACTAGTGTTTTGTTTGGGTTATTGTTTTCAAGTCAACTTTTTATTGAAGCTAGCATACATTTAGAAACAAGTATAAATCACAGGCGAACAGTTGATAAATTGTGGTAAAATGAATGAACAGTAAACGGCATCTAGATCAAGGTACAGAATATTACCAGCACTCAGCATCCCTCCCACCCTCTTCCAGTACTCTCCTTCCCCTGCCCTCCCCCCAAAGACCATATATTAATTTGCTTGTTTTTGAAATTATAGACATAGTTGCATGTGGCTGAAGTTTGCTTCTTCTCAGTGCTGGGAGGCAGTCCATTGCATGAACGTGCCACATTTTGATTATCCATTCTATTGGTGCACATTTGGGGGAGCTTCCTGCCTGGGGATTGTGAATGGTGCTGCTGTGAAAATTCCCGCATGCATCTTTTGGTAAGCCTACGTGTATGTTTCGGTTGGGGATATACCTAGGGATGGGATCGCTGGGTCACAGGGAATCCAGATGTTCAGCCGTCGTGGCTAGGCCAAACTGGTTGCCGGTATTAATGTTCTCCAGATGAGTCTAACCTCTGGCCAGAGCTGAGCACTGCTGTTCTAATGGTGGTGGTAAGCCCAGTGCCAGGGACACCAGGTAGGAGGCTCGCGTGGTCACCCAGCACCTGGGGAGATGCAGAGGTTGGAGGACTGCAAGATTTCTAGGGAAGAGGGAGCAGGGGCCCGTGGGGGAATAGCGTCAGAAGAAGAAGGAAAAAGGAAGAGGAAAACGCTCCCTCGTGCCGCTGGTGTTTCTGGTGTTGCTTTTGCAAAGGTCTCCGGAGGCGGCACAATGTGCTGAGCAGAGGTACAGGAGATGAAATAGGCTAAAAGTGGGTCTGTTGCCGCAGGAGGGTAGCCTGTGAGCGTCGGCCAAAGCCTGCAGACGCCACATCATCGGACTCTCAGAGTGAGACGTGAACTCACTGGTTACATATGTGCTGACCGGGGTGGGGGCGGGGAGGCCGGCTGGTGCTGCGGCCAGGGCACTGGGGGATTTGACGTGGGTTCTAATCCCTGCTCGGCCTCCAGCTGACTGTGTGCTTCCTCTCCCTGTATGCTAGTAACAGAGCATCCTGGCTAGATGACCTGCCAGATCTCCTCTAGTTCTACTGGCCTATTGTATATGTCGCTCTAGGGGGTCACCAGAAGGAGAAGGTCTGAAAAGTTGGCATGATGTAATGGGTTTATATCTGAGATGGTTTTGGATGAAAACATGGGACTATGTAATTACTTCCCTAAATTATACAGCACAGGACAAGACACTCTTAGATGATTTCAGTTTAGTTTTGCTTTGTTTTTTAAAATTAGGGGCAGGGCTAGGACACTGGTGGCTGGGAGCCCTGGACAGGCCGGTGGTGTTACCAAGATGACTCCACGGCTGCGCTCACCTTTTTGTTTTCCTACCTGCTCCCCTCCCACTTGCCCTTATGTATAACAAGCCTCTCGCCTGGACCAGTGGGGAGAACCACTGAGCTGCTTTGGAAGAGGCAGCCAGAACTGTGTTGTTAATTACTGCAGAAAGAGACCAGCAGGCCCAATGTATTCAAGTCCTCGGTCTGGCCATCGTGCCCCAGAGAACTCCCAGAGCACCTGGGCATTATGCAGGCTGGGGGTGCCACCAGGTAGGAAGACCACCCATCCCC